TCGTGCACCAGCATAAAGTATGATTATAAATCAATAAAAAACGTTTTACATCAAAGTGAATGGATTTTATAAAATGTTGTATTCATTTACTTATACATAGTTATTTTATACAGATGATTCCTATGAAAGAAAAAGTAAAAATATGTGGCAATATTGAGCTGCCTATTGTGATAATACTACTACCTACATTCTAGTTTATATTTATATATCTGCATTTTCTGTGGTTAAACTAATGTATACTTTTGAAACTTAAAGTGACATAAGTGTGTGTTTGATATTTCACCAAAGTAAGAAAGAAAAGAGCAGTTAAATGAATGAACAAAAAACAGATCTTATGTTCCTAAAATTTTATTCTTAGCTTTTATATATGTATATATTTAAGGTATATATTTTAAGAACAAAGTGATATGACAGTATCGACGACTTTCCTGTACTTGAAAATAGTATATAAATGTTTTATACAAAATAAAATAACCCTTAAATTAATTTTTTTTTTAAATATTAGTACTTTTATTTCATCGTTCTTAATAATAAATATTTTTTTTTTCACTAAGAATTAAAAGCAATATATACTTATGCATATATGTCACTGATTGCAAAATGTACGAAGCTCCAAAAAACATGTTACGAGTAAATTATATAGGTGTCAATATATATATGTAAAATTTTGAAATTACCCAGCTTTCAGTCTATTTCAATTAAATCGATGAAATATTATGTCACACGTTATTATATTACGCATTTATGCGTCATACGTTTAATTATGCGTCATTTATGTCAAAACCTCATTCTCTTGACATGCAATACGCATAGTAAATTCGTTCGCGTCAAACTATATCATATTGAAACAAGAAATGTTTTGAAATTTTACATATATATATTATACTTTCAGATAATTACGACATTCTTCACCATGGCCTTGATAACCGTAATATTTGTCTCCTATCTTAAATAAAACTGGTCTCGACCTATGCAGCTTCATGTAACACATAATCAGAAATCTATATCAGTTGCGTCATATGTTACTGATTCTTGATATAATACCATTACACATTTTCACTTCGGCAGGTTATGATTTAAATAAAAAAAAGAATTACATTCGTTAATGAACCAAAAACTTGATACTTGAAACCAGTTTACAGTAAAGCCAGTTTATAGTAAAGTTTTATTATCGGGTAGTTTCAACGCACAGTGAAAGCGTATAAAATATAAAAATTTATTGAATCTGTGCTCACAACTGTTTAATTACAAAAATTAAAGAAAGATGTAAAAGTGAAGAAGAAGAAGAAGAGAGAGAGAGAGAGAAAGAGAAAGAGAGATTAGGACCAATTTATAACGAAATATACTAATATATAAAATGTAATAATACTATAAAAAAAAAGCTAATTTTATATACATATTATAATAATAAATCTGTTAAAAAAATAAAGTAAAATTAAATAATATATATTTATTAAGTTTTTATAATAATAATAATTTTAAAAGCTATATACAATAATTTAATAAAAAAATTTTATCTGTTTTACTTCCTTTTGCATTAAACTACAAAAATTTAATGTTCGTTTAATTTCTATTAAGAATTGAACAGCTTTTCCATATCATGTTCCGACTAAAAATGTATGTTTCTTTTACAAGCAAATACATAATATCTCAGTATTTGGTGTTAATACGTATTCTCACAGATTTCTATTGCGTAAATACATGTTCTATTTGATCAGTGCACATCCATGTTTCCATTGAGTAAATAGATTATGTAAAACAAATATGTTCAATAATTATACTATGGTTAAATCATAGTTAGTTCGCGTAAAAATACATGGTCTGATCTCATTGCACACATACTGGTACCGAGATTGACGCCGAGACACTACCCGTCTTTTCACTTTAAAAAATATCGGTGGGATATTTCACGACGTCTATATAATTCTCACTTGATGTTAATACTAACCTCTGTTTATAATATATAAGAACATTATCACAATGTGGATTGAAACCTATGTTAAATTCACACCGATATTTTTTAGATTGTTGATTTAAATATACTTAATATTAAAAAAATATTTTTATAAGTAGTTCTTTATATTATTCGATTATATAGTTAAATATAAACCCTTAGTACACATCTTAGTTTTTGGCACCTTTACCACACGATGAATTTTTCGTGTCCTGGATTAACTTTCATTATTTTTACAGGTAGGTATATAAAAATTATTAACCAACTCTTACGTACATTTTCATGACAGCTTTAGAAAGTATTTATAAAGTTGTATATTTATAATAAATTGTTATATACAATTGTTGTATATAAATCAAAGAAAAAAATACGCAGGACACGAATGATCCAAAGTGCAGGGTATTAAGGATTAATATTTTAATCAATACAACTCATTTCGAATATATTAGATAGTGTTTCTTTTTCTTAAATGTAACTTACTCCATGTGTAAAAATATTTTCCTTCAGATAGTATTATTAAAATCGCATTAGCATAAATTTAATTGTATTGTTTTTCAATAAATAATCTAAAAAGTTTTTATAGTTATATATATATTTGCATGTTGAATTGATAAATGAATAATGATGTATGTGTATGAATAATGCAACACACAAAATTATGCTTATTTATATATACCACTTGAAAAACAAGTTTATCAATGCCATTTAAGAAATTTAAATATACATTATCAAAATCAACGACAATGCCATTATATTTAATTCTTATTTAATCCTTATTTAATATTTTTATATGTATATGTCCACTGAAAAAAACTGTTAAGTTAAATTATAATGCTGTTATTAATAAAACATAGCGAAAGTCAAGGAACATACAAATTTATTACGACAATATTTAAAACTATATTGTAATTATAATGAATAAAACAGACTTAATTGTATATATCTAGAGTAGTATTTCTACATATCGGATGTTACAAAACATCGCTGAAGGAGTCAAGGAAAAGATTAACTCTTAAGCCTTGATGATATCCTAGTCAAGAAATAATCTTCTACATTCTTCTGAATCTAGTTAGTTTTTGAGATGGACTATAAATTACATAATTATAAGAAAAATTTTTATTTGTACATACGCTATATAGTTTAATTCTAAAATTATATTATTTACTTAATTTTTGAATTATATGTTAAATAATATACTATATTATTTTATGTGTTGTACATATAAAAGAATATATATATAACATATGAAAGAAATACATAAATATTAGACAATAATTATTCTCTGCGTTACATTGGTATTTACGCATGAACAAGAAACAAGGAAAGATTAATAATGGACAATCATTATTAATAAAAAATATTATTCCTATATACATCAATTTTAATGCATAGATATGATTAAAATGAAAAATATTCTTTTTTGTAGCGTACATATGTAAACACGTTCTTAAGATTTATTCAGGTTTTTATTTCTTTATCCTTGATAACATTTATGTCATGATCACTAGTTCTACTGGTATAACGAGAAAATATAGAATTACGTATATGTATATGGTCGGCATTTTTGGTAACATGTTAAAATTGAAAGCTGTAATTAATCCAGTCTAAGGACCGTTTTCACAATATATGGTTACCTAAAGATAAAAAATTACCTAAAAATTACCAACAGATTCATCAATGAAATTCATTCATGAATTTCTTGGTTACCTTTAATCTTTAGGTAACCATATATTGTGAAATTGGGCTTTACTGTGAGAATAAATTTTATTGATTAGCATCACATTTCAGAACACACATGAAGACGTAACAACAACTAAGGCTGTGTTCCAGAATCGACTGCCAGTACTGGAAATCTATAGTGCACGTAACGTAAACTGTAGCATTTTCAGTGCTGGCAGTAAATTTGGAACACAGCCCTATATATAATTAATGGAGATGTATTTATAATAAGATGGATGTTTAAAAAATACTGCTTTTAATTAAAATACTTAATTATTACTTTTGAATAGTTACTTTTTTAAATAATAAATCTCAGTGATTTGAATTAAATTGTGCTTATTTACTTTATTTAACATTTATTTTTTTACCTATGTACTTATAATATAATGATCGATATTATCTAAGACACGTGTACTTGCCCTACATGTAAGTAAAAAATCATACATTTATTTATAAGTAAGTAAAATCATGATATGGAGTACAAAATAAAGAATAAAAGAAAATAATTAATTTATAATAATTATGTATAATAGGATATAAATATATACATATATTGTATATATAGATAGTTATATAATAGTATATAAAATATACTACATTTAAAAAAATTTTTTTAACAATATATTATCTTAACATCTTTTTAATAAATATAAGAAAATAATATATAATTATGACGTTATAATTCTTTTTTTACTTGTTTTTCCTAATTATATTATTTCTTATAAAATATATAATTATAAATCTTTTTCTTATTAAGATATATGTATATATTTAAATTGGATTACGCTGAAAACTTAGACATAACAATTAAATCTTTGCTATTTTTAATTAAATAATAAATGTTATATAATTGTTTGTAACAGTTTTGCTGTATTTATTGGTTTTCTGATTTAATTAAATTTAATTGCATTTTAACAAAAATCTCAATTTTCGTCTAATTAAATTAAAGATGTCGCGGCACGCGACAAAGCCGACAAATCTTCGACGTTTTCACAGCGCGTAGGCCGCGTAGTATCGACAGTACCGTTGGCGCTTGACACCTGTATCTCTGATTTTGACAGGAAGAAGAAAATACGAGTTCCCAAATTAATGATCCTCGATCAATTTGAACATTTTATTCATCTGAAGTAATATGTGAAAATTGTCGGACTATTAATCATTTTTCAACGTGCTAACAAGACATTTTACATGTCTTTATTTTCTAACCTATAATAGTAAATATATATATATATA